CTGGAGATTAAACACTCTATTTAGATTTTAGAGTTATTAAGATTTTGGGTTCAGGGTTTGGAGAAAGGATGGATAGGATCAACGATCTATCAGATGAGATTATTTGCCACATTCTGTCTTTCCTTCCGATAAAACAGTCTGCTTTAACATCTGTCCTCTCAAAACGACGGCGTAATCTGTTTGCCTTGACACCTAATCTTCATTTAGATGATGATCTTCAAGAAGTTGGTAATGGAGAAAGTTTCGTCGATTTTGTGGATAAGAGTATTGGCTGTCTCAGGCAATTTCCCCATTAGGAATGCTTCCATAAAATGTCGAAAGAGTATCCACTCGGGTCATGCTACTCGCTGGATGATTGACTTGCTGAAACGTGGTGGTGTCGTAAATCTTGATATAGACGTAATCTCTCGTGAAGAAACGATTTAGTGTCCCTCGAGATCTTCACTTGCAAGACAATAGTTGAGCTAAAACTAGCAAAAGAATTATTTGATGCTATGCTCCCTGAAGATGTTTCTCTTCCATCTCTTAAGACTCTCTTTCTTGATTCGGTTTATTTCTACAATAGTAGTTATTGTGTTTTGTGCCCTCTGCTTGAGGAGTTGACCATTCACGGTGACTGCTGGCAACTTCGAAAATGCAGTCGCACAGTGTCCTCGTCGACCCTTAAGAAGCTTACCATTATGTGTACTAATCGTGAGGATTTTTGGGGCATCACTTTCGATACTCCGAATCTTGCCTACTTGGAATACTCTGATTTAATTCCAAGAGACTATCCATTTGTGAATCTTGAGTCACTTGTCGAACTTAAGCTTGATCTTTATTTGTGTGCTGGTCATAGCAATCCAACAAATCTGCTTAAGGGGTTAAGAAATGTTGAGGCTTTGGAGTTATCATCTAATGACACTTCAAGGGTAAACAATGATCTCTTCTGTTTTTCTTTCTATGTATAACTGCATATGCAAGTTAAGATCATAGAAGAGCAAGGAGAGGGAACCCTTGTTTCGCTTTCTGGGGTACTAGAATCTCACACTTTTTTCCTGTTGATTTTTATTTTGTTTCAGATGATCTATCATTTTCGTGAAGTAATCCCAGTGTTCAACATCCTATTTCGTTTATCTATTACAACTCATTCACTCGGCTACGATTGGGAAGTTCTGCCAATACTTCTAAAAAATTCTCCAAATCTACAAACCCTCGTCATTAAGGTATAAACCGAATCCCCGAAAGTTTATTAGACAAACTCAAATCTCTATGTAATCTTCCCTCTTGTTTCAGGGTCCATTGGACGCTGAGAAACGTAAACGAGGTAGAGGATATGTACCGTCATGTCCTGTGAAAGTATTGAAGATAACTGAGTATGGAGGAAAAATCGGCAAATGAAACGTTTCCTAAAGAAACTGTCATGTCTTGAGCTTGTCAAAGTTCGTGCTTGTGCAATAGACGACGACAAGGAAAAGTCTCGAGTCACCAAAGATTTGCTAATGGTTCCAAGATCATCCAAGTGCAAAATCCAGATCAAGTTTTGTGAGGAAACCAAGTAATGCATGAAATTATAGTCTGTTGTAACTAAGTAATTAAGTCTGTTGTAACAAAAAATAGTTGAGAAGATGCAATTATAGTGTTTGTTCACAAACACAAGACAGTTTCTTTGAACATAAACACGAAATAGTTCAGAAGTTGAGTTTATGGTTTTTTAAATCCTCTTGATTGATCACATTTGTTTTTCAAGAGTCCAAGAATGCATCTAATTACATTCCTGATAAGATTTTTGTCACCTCTTGGTGGTTTGCTGCTTTCATTGAGAGTAAGTAAATCCATATATATATATCTATTAATATTCGTCTTAAGAGATTTGTTTATCTGCAGGCACATCCGAGTCTGAGACATTTGGTCAGCGATGAGCAGCTGCGATATCTAGAATCATGGATTAAGCAATAGTATGATTTCCCTAGTCTTTTGATCTTTCATATTGCAGACACTAATCTTGTGGCCTCATGGACTGATGACGAGCTTGTGCATTTGAAGCTGGGCAAGCTGCTCTTCTTTTTCTTGAAGAAGCCGGTGTGACCTGTGAATTCAAGGTATAATCATATAAAATCACTTTTTCAATCTCGAAACTTTCTCGTTTGATGACCTTGGAAACAAATGCCTAAGAGAGATCCAATGTATGTATAAATGTTTCTTCTGAACAGATTTGTTTATCTGCAGGCATATCCGGGTCTTGGACACTCGATCAGTGATAGGAGCCGCAATTTCTGGAATCATGGATCAAGCAAAGGATGTAGGCAAACTTGCACTCAAGGTAAATATCGTTCCTACATGTCATCTATGAAAACAATATGAAGATTGATAACTTGAGCTCACATAGTCTAATTCTTGTCTGGTTTGGTCTCTGGAGTCTCCTTCTAGTATCTCTATCGTGTGAAAACCGGTTTCGGATTTGTTTGATTATTGAATAGGTTCCTCTGTTGCTGAAAACATATATTTCGTGGTTGTGTTGTTTTGAAAAATAATAAATGCACACACTGTAATTTATACATGTTTGCTCTTGCGTGCACACTGGAGTTGGTTTATTGCGTGGAGGAATTTGCATTTTCTTAACCTGATTTTAAAGTTTAGGTCTTGTCCTCATTCTTCTGAAGGAGTCATTGTTAGATAATTTGAATGCGTCTTGCATTTGGATTTAGCATGATTTGCCTTTGATGGATGAGTTGTGAAGGGCATTTCCAACCGCAATACACATAATCGAGGTAAATATATGGCATGAATCCAATAAAGATCCTTTTTTGTGTCTGAAGAACCTTGAGCTCCTTGCTAATGATTGTGCCTTCTCTTCTTATGCTGGGGGTACAGTCTTTAGCGGATGGATTCCCTTCAACTCTTTAAATCATCAATCAGTTTACCGAAGATGGTAAGAAAGTTACTCATCCGTCCTTTCGGTTTCTTGTAAAGGTCAAGTGTTTCTGAGCCTTTCCAGATTTTGCATATGCAGACACCAATCTTGTGGTCTCATGCCGTTGATGACAAGACTGAAGTATTCGAAGCTGGTCAAGCGGGTCTTTCTTTTCTTCAAGAGGCCTGTGAATTGAAGGTATGATAATCAGATGAAGCACTCATGTTTGATCATATAACAGAGTGAAATGAGTTCTTAGAATGTAAATCTGAAGAGATTTCTTTTGTGTGCAGGCTTGTCCGGATCTCGGGTTCTCGATCAGTAATAAGGAGCTGCAATATCTGGAGTCATGGATCAAACAACGGATGCAGAGTTCGTCTTCTTAAACTGCTTTAAAACCAACATTGCACTCAAAGTAACATCAAAGATTAGAAGAATAATGATAACTCGACTTTTTCTATTTGTGAAAACCGGTGTTGGTTTAGTCAGAGTCTTGTTTGGTTAAGGAAAATGGTTGCTTTTGTAGATGAGTAGTTAATTTAACATTTACAATTTGTAATTTGCACCGATTTGAAAAAGA